TTCTATAACTTCTTTATTTTTTTGATTTTATTTTATTTTTTTTGCTTTATTTTTTTGATTTTTTTTATGCTTACCAGAAAGATGACGATGTATACAATACTATCTAAAACAGTAATAAAAAAAATGTCACTTGAGATTTAAAAAAAAATTCGAAAACAAATGACGTCATAAATGTCTCTATAGTGTCATTTAAAAAAATAAAATCGAATTATGCGAGGATTTTTTTGAAAAATGACTAATAACAAAGATATGAATTTTGAGCGTTACTTTTGGTTCAGTCTGTATTATAATTTTATGCATTATTATTTCTAAAGAAAGTTGTTAAAAGAGACAAAGTTTTAAAGTAGGGTTCAGAACATGCTAAGTAGGGCTTAGCCCTGGTTGGCCCCCCACTAGCTACGGGCCTGTCACTGTGGTATCTTATTACTTGCTCGTGATTATTTTCAATAATTGTTGTTTTATTGTATTTTCTTCAAAAGAAAAACCTTTTTTAAATGATCCAATAGAAGAATTTTTTTAGAATTTGCTTATGATGATGTATTTATAGTATTCTGCGACCACAAACATGATAATCAAAAATGCACGATTATTCCTGAGGTGCCGTTTATAACCAGAGGACTATAAAGCACCAAAGAAATAATAGCATTTCTCTCTAGTGGTGTATATAGGGTGTTAAAAAAAGATTATAAAATATTTCAGGAGGTAATAGTATGGACCAAAACAAATAAGAAAATTTTAATAAACATGAATCCGCAAAGTAACGGTTTCGGGGATTTCGAAAATTATTTGTTTTTTGAAACAATCTGTTTGAACAAAAAAAAAAGAAGCTTTTAGTAAAAATTCTAAAAACTTTCACATTCGACATCTCCAAAACCGTTACTTTGCGGACCCATGTTTATTAAAACCTCCTTACATATTTTACAATTTTTTTTTAATACCCTGTATCAATAATAAGAGTAAAATGTGTCTCTTGTCTTCTAGGGTGTTGAACACATTTTCCTAAATCTTTTGAAATTTTTATTTATGATTGTTGACGATCATAAACATTTTTACTAAAAAATATGACAAGGAAATGTATAAAACCAAACTATCGCTAATCCCATTGAAATTTGATTAGTGATTACTGATTACAGAAAGAAAGATAACAGAATGACTTTTTTAGAATGTATTTTTTATTTTCTATAAATAAAAAAAGTTATTTTAATAAGTATACGGAACTTCATGAGTACACCAGAAACCTATTCTTGTATTGAAAAGTTTTTGTTTTGTTGTACATCTCGTTTGTTGAAACTTGAATTTAAGAAAAGCATATTTTATACTCCTAGTTAATTTACTTTTTTAAATAAATGTTTTAGATTTATAGCAATTTTTGTACTTAAAATTTCCGTGTAATTCAGAAAAGAACAAACTTTAAATAGATTAACAATCAACACCAATTAGACATATACTGACTCTAAGCAACACTTTTTTGAGTTAATATATTATATTATATTATATTATATTATTATATATTATATATTTAATACTTTTTAATTTTCTACCACAGCACGGAGTTGTGTTAAAAAAACAATTAAGCTTACACTATTTTCCGAGTAAAATATTATTTAGAGGGATTTATTTATACGTAAACGGCAAAATTACCTTATAATCTTCTTTATTAAAATTGTAAATATTTTGTTTTGACAAAATGCTCGAACAGGTCAATTTCTTCTCAAAAAATACAAAATTTTCAACTTGATTTAAAACTGTATGTTTCTTTCTTGTTAAATTTCACTTTTTTTTCTGAAACTTTACGTATTATTTAATTTTTGGTGGTAAAATTTTAAATCAAGTTGAAAATTATTAATATTATTGAATATTATTCCATAATTTTGCCGCTTACTGTATAATACTTGAAACAGAGTTTTGCTGTGTAATCTTTGAAAAAGACGAATATTTTAGTTTAAAATAGAATGGGTCTCATTTATTATTAAAGAAAGCATTGGTTGTTGCATTTGACGATATTAAATCGTTGTAGTGCTTTTCCTATCGTTGAAATTAATTGAAGACGATAAATAGCGGCAGCATTGGCTCTCTCATTAGTGTTATCGACTTCAAAGGCACATATCTTTGGCCAGAATTCGTGCAATCACATCGAGAAACATAAACAGAAAAACGTGATAGTTAGACTGTCACCCTGAAAATGGTAATTTGTTACGAAGACATTTCCGAGAGCTAGACTAAATAGTGGAAAATATCCATTCTGGATGAATGATGTAAAATGAAACATTAATTTGAATAGGCAGCAAACAGTACAAACAACCAGTTTGCTCTCTTATACCATCTCTAACGCAGAACCGCGACCATTATTTTCATTTTTATCCGCGACTAATAAATTTTCCACTGCGACGTAAATCTTTTCGCGCTCGAGTATTTCTCGCCAAAGTGGTTTATACGAAAGTAATTGCACTAATTTACGTTTGGCTCGCGGCCGAAAGCTTGTCGCTTCGAACTGAAAATATACCACAGAGTGATATTTCGATTCGATAGATGGAAATAGAAAAAGATGTGTATTGTCTGCAACTTAATAAACCTCGTCCGCGGCCTAACGCCTTGAGCGAATGTCACTTTATTAGTAATGGGCGGTCTTCGCGGCCAGTAACAAGTTAATATGCATTTTAATAAAACTCGATACGACCACCCGGTAGTAATGACCACTTTCTGCATAAATCAAACCTTTTTCTCACACCAGTCATCATTAGAATGTTTTAATCGCACATAAATAATAGTTATTTTCAACGACAACTCGTTTCGGTTTTACTGTTTTTAGAAACAAAACCGATTCATAAAATATCAAACCAAATCAAATCAAATAGCTTTATTAGTGTTAAAATACCTCACTGGCATTTACACAAGTCTAGTGACTCTACAAAGTAAATAAACATATAAGCTAATTTATTCTTAGACTAATTTATAATAAGACAGAAAAATCAAAACTAAAAAATTCCTCAAAAGAGTAAAATGGATTTTTCACTAAAAAATCTTTGACAAAGTTTTTAAACAAATTACAAGGTAATATTTTGATACTAAGAGGTAAAGTTTTGAAGAATTTTAAACAGTAATAGTTAACAGCGTCTCGAGAGCGGTTTAATCTTAAGAAATCATGGTGAAGTAAGTCTTTGTGACGAGTAAAGTGTTCATGGTCTTGAGTCGAAAATTTTGAAGAGTTATTTTTTACAAAAAGTAAGCAAAAAATGTACAATGATGGAATCGTCATGATTTGTAGATCCGCGAAACTCTTGCGGAAACACTCTCTGTACTTTAAATTGTTAATAATCCAAATAGGTTTACATTGAAGAGCAAATAGAATTTTCGTATGACAAGAATGCCCCCACACTAGTAGACCGCACATTAATAGGCTTTGTATGTAGGCATGATAATTGTTTTTTTGGGTGAAACATGCAGGAGTTGTCTTAGTACGTATATTTTTTGTGATATTTTATTTGCAATAAATGTTATGTGATTTTCCCAAGTAAGTTTATTGTAACATAAAGACCTAATAATTTAATAGCTTTTGGAGTTTCCTCGATGTTCCGTAACGAAAATGTAATCAATTGTATTTTGTCTTTATTAAGAGATAATCTGTTTGATTCAAACCATATTTTGATTTCATTATCCGAGAATAAGGCAATATTATGTAATGATTCAGTATCACTGTGACTGTCTACAATTGTGGTATCGTCTGCGAATAATATTATATTAGAACGAGTCGCCATGGGAAGATTATTTATATAAATTATAAACAATAAAGGTCCTAATACTGATCTTTGAGGAACACCAAATCTATTATATTGACAGTTGGAAATTTTATCTTTATATTGAACAAATTGTTTGCGATCTCGAAGATAAGACGATATTAAAGCAATACTATTAGAAGAAAAACCATAGTGTTTCAGTTTATCCAAGAGGATGCTATGGGTAATGCAATCAAAAGCCTTAGTTAAATTATAACAAGCTGCAAAGACGTGATTTTTATTTTCAAAAGCATCAAAAACTAGCTGTGACACGAGTTCTAAAGCAGAAGTAGTCGATCTGTTACATCTAAACCCAAATTGACTCTTGGAGAATAAATGATTATTTTCAAAGTGAAAACTTATTTGATTTTTTAGTAGTATCTCGAGAATTTTTGAGAGGATAACTGTTAAAGAAATTGGTCGGTAATTGGCAGGATCATTAACGTTTCCTTTTTTGAAAATGGGTATTATCTTTGATAGCTTTAAACATTACCGGAAAACATTGGTAATTAGACACATATTAAAAAGCTTAGTTAAGGGAGAGATTATGAGATTTTTGATAGTCAGAATGATAGTGGAATTAATACCATATGCATCATTACTGTTATTTTTTTTAAATTTGTTAAAAGCATCTCTGACATCATTTATTGAAAAAGATTTAAATTCAAAAGAATTTGTATTTTTATTAATTACTAGCAAGAGTTGAGTCTGATTTTTCCAATCTATCAATAATATTTTCAGTAATATTCGAAAAATAATTGTTGAAACTGTCAACAATATTGGTAACATGTGATTTAGGAAACTGAGGTTTTCCTTTGATTACTGACCACATGGCTTTACATTTGTTATTTGACTTAGAAATAAAAGGGTTATTGACATATTTTTTGCATTATTGAGATCAGATCTGTACCGGGATTTATATGCGATAAAAACTGATTTTGAAATAGTGTTGTTTTTGTACAAATTATACAGAGTGGTTATAAATGATTTTCATCTAGCCAGCTATGAATTTTCCATGTAAAGTAAAAAATGCCGCTTTACGAAAATAGGGGTTCCTACTTGTTGGAACTCAAAATTAAAAAATCGCCGTTTACTAAGCGTCCACTTCGAAAATATACTTCAATTATAAACTTGTTTTCTTCCAAAGTATACATTATTATCAATTGTTATTGGAAATTAGTTGAAACAATAAAAATTTAATCAACAACAATTTATTATTAATTAATAAGTGACACTAATGACAGAACTAGAGCTTTCAAAAAAGTAGAGCCGCACAAATAAAGTTACATGCAAAAAAACTCCAAAGCTGGCTAGATGAAAATCATTTATAACCACTCTGTACATAAAAACTAAGTTAGATTTTTTTTCCTTTAATTCACGATTGAACCAATTTGTTTTGGTGAAGTTTTCTCTTGTAATTAGTTTCAGCGGAAGGCAAAAGTTTATGGCGGTCATTAAAATATTTAAAAACATAAGGAATTTAGTTGAGAATCAATGATAAATAAAAACGGAGATTCAAAAACCAATTTGTTGTTTGCGAAAAAGAATCAAAATTCATCTTACGTGCAAAGTGAAAAAAGCATGTAATATGGCACCCTGCGGGTCACAGTTGTCCTTACATGTACAAGGGACGTCCCGGTGTGAGACACTGTGTTACACGAATAATGCTGCCGTCGGAACATGTGTTCTAAGCTGTTGGTTGATACTTGTCTAAGGAAATTGCAACCGACTAAATCGAATCCAGTTTTTTAGCCTTCTTGGGATCCATACCGACGCGTCATGCATTAATTTTACTCGATTGCGACCGCTTGCCACACAAGTATTTTTTCCTCTGTTATTTTACTTACCCATCTTCCGGCTTCGTTGTTGTGCAAATTCATCTTTTCTCGGATGGTTTTGCCCCTTTCCCCAGCGTCGACAAATTCGCGACTGACGGTAAACCCAAATCCGATATTATCCGAACATCCTCCCCATTCGAAGTCTCTGACTCCGGCGACGGCTCCTTGGTGCGGTCTTCCTTTGTAATGCGTTTCACAGTTGCAAGTATCTATCGAACCTTCGCTGCAAGCTCTTGCAATCGCGTGGGTCACTGCAGCACTCGTTATCGCATAAATGAAAGCAGTTTCCCTGCATCCTGCGAAAGATAATTAGTTTTAATAAGCGACAAGGAGAGGTTTTGTGTATGTATTGAAGAGTTTTAAACAATAATAGTTAACAGCATCTCGAGAGCAGTTTAATCTTAAGAAATCATGGTGAAGTAAGTCTTTGTGACGAGTGAAGTGTTCATGGTCCTGAGTTGAAAATTTTGAAGAGTTATTTTTTACAAAAAGTAAACAACAAAAAATGTACAATGACTCTTGCGGCAACACTTTCTGTTCTTTAAATTATTAATAATCCGAATAACTTTACATTGGACGGCAAATAGAATTTTCGTATGACAAAAATGCCCCCACATTAGTAGACCGTACATTAATAGGCTTTGTATGTAGACATGATAATTGTTTTTTTGGATGAAACATGCAGGAGTTGTCTTAGTACGTATATCTTTTGTGATATTTTATTTGCAATAAATGTTACGTGATTTTCCCAAATAAGTTTATTGCTAACATAAAGACCTAATAATTTAATGGCTTTTGGAGTTTTGTCGATGTTCCGTAACGAAAATGTAATCAATTGTGTTTTGTCTTCATTAAGAGATAATCTGTTTGATTCAAACCATATTTTAATTTCATTGTCCGAGGATAAGGCAATATTATGTAATGATTCAGTATCACTGTGACTGTCTACAATTGTGGTATCGTCTGCGAATAATATTATATTAGAACGAGTCGCCATGGGAATATCATTTATATAAATTTTAAACAATAAAGGTCCTAATACTGATCCTTGAGGAACACCAAATCTATTATATTGACAGTTGGAAACTTTATCTTTATATTGAACAAATTGTTTGCGATCTCGAAGATAAGACGATATTAAAGCAATACTATTAGAAGAAAAATCATAGTGTTTCAGTTTATGCAAGAGGATGCTATGGGTAATGCAATCAAAAGCCTTAGTTAAATTATAACAAGCTGCAAAGGCGTGATTTTTATTTTCAAAAGCATCAAAAACTAGCTGTGACACGAGTTGTAAAGCAGAAGTAGTCGATCTGTTACATCTAAACCCAAATTGACTCTTGGAGAATAAATGATTATTTTCAAAGTGAAAACTTATTTGATTTTTTAGTAGTATCTCGAGAATTTTTGTACTCGTTATCGCATAAATGAAAGCAGTTTCCCTGCATCCTGCAAAAGATAATTAGTTTTAATAAGCGACAAGGAGAGGTTTTGTGTATGTGAATTTTTTTTTGATGTCCATCTCGACAAAGCAGGAACTAAACAAAGTGAGGGCTCGATTGGCAAACATCTGGACATGCGAGTCCTTTATGTGCAACCCTTTGACAAATTTTAATACGTCGTAAAAATGTCATTCGACCCGGCTAATGGATGTTGAGGGCACTACATCAAAAAGATCAAAACATACAGATTGACAGCGAGGCTTTAATCATAGGGATTGTCTTAAAAGAACTGAGGAAGTTAAAGGATGACTCCCTAGAGGGAAATTGCTACCTACACAAGCCCTTTTCCGGTGCAAACTAAATAATATCAAAATTCACCATCTGGGATATTAGAAAAATTCTTTTCTCATTCACAGCATGATGGGTGGAGAGCTCGGATTTTATTGACGGGATCCTTATTTGTGGTTTACAACAAAAACACAAAAGAAACGCTTTTTGTGAGTGTGAATGTGCGGCGACTCAAATGTTCATAAAACAGCTAATTAACATGTCTTAAAATTTTCAACAAACAACTCACTGCTTTAATAAAACTTGGAAAATATGATACTCCTATAATATAATCATTTTAATGGCTTATAAACTCATCGGATTTCAACAAAAATTCTACAGGGTGTCCCAGTGAGTTGAAAAAGTGACCTTTGATAGATACTAATCTACTAACTATACAGCGTGTCTCAAAAATAAGTTACAATGCAAACTTGTGTTTTTTTAAATAAAGCACTATATGTTTCTTAGCGTTTTTGGATGTAGAATTTTATGATAATGTTTTTAAGCTAAACTTTTATTGGTCGATTTTGCTTAGTTTTAAAAAAAAGACAATTTTTTTGACGAAAACATGCACTTTTTAAAAATTTATTACACAAAAACTAAGACATCTAGAAATATTTTTTTTAGTACCGCAAAGAAGAAGGTACAAGCTATAAGATTGTAACATTTTCTTAGTGTGTTTGCAAAGATAAAAAAATAGAGGCGTTTGTTAAAAGTTCAATATCTTAAAAAATTTAAATGAAACACCCTATTTATTGTTTTTGCATTTAAAAGATTGTTAAATTGTCATTCTAAAATTATTTACTTTTAGGTGTTTATAATCAATAACTAAAAAGATATTTAACGTTAAACAATAAAAAAAAATAATTACTATTGTTTTAGTAGCCAAAAAGTGCTCAGTTGCACAAGAGATGGAAGAAATATCACTTAATAATTACATTTGTGTTAAACTGAATCTATTATTCTTTATTTTTATAATAAAATAATTCGAATTTGCCATAGTATCGACAATACCCAGATATTGATACGCATTGTTGCTACAATTAATATTGAATGTAAAATATCTTTTCATTTATCAATTCTAGACATTAAGAGTTTATTTTTTTAGATAGACAATTTATCAATCTATTACATGCAAAAATAAAAAATAGGGTGTTTCATTTAAATTTTTTAAGTTATTTAACTTTTAACAAACTTCTTAATTTATTAATCTTTACAAAAGCAAAACACTAAAAAATTGCTACAGCTTTAAGTTCTGTACTTTCTTCTTTGCAAAAGTAAGAAAAAATTTCTTCTAGCTTTCATAAATTTTTAAAAAGTTCATGTTTTCGTCAAAAAAACGTCTTATTTCTAAAATCGATAGTCTTTTAAATGGTTACATCCAAAAATGTTAAAAAACATAAGGTTGAATTTAGAAAAACACAAGTTTGTATCGTAACTTATTTTTAGAACATGCTGTACAGTTGAAAATAATTTTAGGTAATAATTTTAGTATGTATCAGTGTCCTATACAATTTAACTATTTAAAAGTCACTAATGGACTTTTTTAACTCGGTGATGGTATGTATTTTGCTGAATCGTCGAATTTAGGTTAATAATAAACACGGCACTATCAGATTTATTTTTATAAAACGTTCATAACGAGATCGATGTTTGTTATTTTAAACTTGGCGAATACAAGACACGTATTGTCAATAAACAATCCATTTCTATAATATAAATCACCAAGTCATCAGCTCTCGATAAAATTTCATGACATCACACCAAAGTATAGGTAGGAAAAAACACACATGTTAGTTTCGTTAAACGTTTTTTAAAATTTGCATGACAAAGGAAAATCTTTAGGAGACAAAAAACACGTACAATACCTGGATTATAGACACACATAGCTTATTCCTGCTTTATTTAGGGAACACATGTTTGCCTATCGGCAGATGGTTTAAATGTTTATTGTCAATAATCGAAGTTGTCAACTTAAAATAGTGAAGAAGGTTTTTTCCCCTTTCTAAACCTTGTCTTAATTTCTCAATTCAATTAAGCGGAATAGATTTTCATATCGCACTCGGGTAAATCATAAATTTATGTTCTTTATATATCCTCGTAACGGATTTAGAAACCTTTTAATTTATTATTTCTGGCAAAAGTTTAAAGACTATGAATGCAAACGAGTGCGTCACTTATCAATTTACGATAATTAGAATTAATCCGGTTTGTGACGACTATCTGAAATGCGATGATCACTGATCGGATACCTACTCAAATTACCGATTAATTGAGACTAATAGAGAGAGTTTATCGGATAAAATAACAAATAGCAGGTCGAGTTTTGTAGATCGATCGATAAAGAACTACCCGAAATACCACTTTTTCGGTCGCGACCGCTTCATACCTGACTTTGTATCTAAATTGGTCCAATTTTGTGCTGTCTTTCAAATTATTTTAATTAAATACCTGACAAATTGATGTTTTCAAGCTGTGTATTAATAGGACATTAACCAAATTAGAATAACGTGTAGCCGAAATCCACTCAAATACTTGCACGATTTCCCATAATTAAATCAAAAGACATAAACAATGTATTATCAACGTGAATAATTTAGTAATAATTACGACACATCCAAATAATCGATAACAAACGGTCGTGAATTATTTAAAAGTAGTAAAGTGAAATAATTATTGCATTATGTCATTGGCCATTGCATTCTATTGACACATCGTAGTTTTCTCATATAAAAAAAAATTGAGAAAGTTTTCTAGTAAATAATTTTTTTCATCAATAAGATAAAAAAACACTAAATCAAAAAATAATAGTACCACTTCTACTCGTATCAAGCAATATTTGAACCTCAAAAATGAGCTATAAAATGATGTTAATTTTAATAATAACTCGTGTCCTATCTCTACTGATAAGAATTTTGCGGCCCTGGGAATGTGGGTATGGAAATTTGTTTTTTTTTTGGAAAATAACTTCAGAACCATTTGATCAAATATTAAAAATTTGGAATGATAATTTGCGAGAACATACCTTTTAAACTAGTAATTTCGAAAACCGGATACATCTACTTAATTTCCGGTTCCAATAATTACAGCTCATATTTTGTTTTTTCGTTTTTTTGTAATCATTACAAAAATTTTGATCTTTAATTTTAATATAAAATTTCACAAACTCAATGATTTGTAAACTGTAGAAGGAATTTTGTTGGAGTCACTAATGGACGTTTTCAATTCGCTGGGACACCCTGTATATAGTTTATCTTTAATAAGACACTAAATTCTAGAAAAAATATAAACAAACAATAATAAAAAATAAAAATATTTATGAAAAGAGGAAAAACACATTTAAAATTTAAAAAACTGTATATACCTTAAGTATGGAACAATTTTCCAGGCTGTTGTATGTTTTATGAGAATAATGATGAATAATAATAACAATGATTTGATGAAATAATTTTTTTAACGAGTTCGTAAGTTTTCCTTATCTTTCGTAAATGGGAAACTGTAATTTTGATCTTTAATTTATAATAAAATTTCACAAACACAATGATTTGTAAACTGTAGAAGGAATTTTGTTGGAGTCAGAACCGAAATCTGCTGATAACACTAACCAACAAGCATTTTGTGACTGAGAAGAAAACAGTAATTTTTGGTTTAAGTCTATGTGCTAAACTCAAAAATGATAAAGAAAATTCCATAACACGTCAAATTTTAAAGTTAGCCATTTTAAGATATCATATGTTCGACAAAATCGCCGAAAAACGAAACACTTAAAATTCATTTTCTCCATTCTCATTTAAATTTTTTTCCCCCAAATTTGGGTGAAGTTAGTGATGAGCAAGGGGTAAGGTTCCACCAGGATATATTGACGATGGAAAAAGGTACCAAGGGAGATGGGATCCAGCTATGATGGGGGATTACTGCTGGTTTCTGATAAGGGAAATTAAAACACCCTAAGAAAGTCAGCTTTTGCAAAAAACTCATCTACAACAGATTTATATTAGAATCTTATACATCTTTCAACATTGTTCTTGTTTAGTGAATAAATTAATTTCTTTCGACGTCTATTTAATTAATTTCTATTTGAAATGAACAATTTTTAGGATAAACTATTTTCCTGTAACTTAAAATCTGTACGTGATAGAGAATTATTCTTATCAAATTCGTAATTAGAGATGTTAATGTACCCTAATACACGTGTCAATAGATCAATCACATTAAAAAAAAATTGTTGGGTAATGTCATTTTTGAGGTTCAAATATTGCTTCATATTTATGAATAAAGACCGTATTTTTTGCATAAAAAAACATTTTGCAATAAAAACGAGGTGTTTTGCACTTTTTTGCATTAAAAAAACACACGTTTTAAAACTAAATTTTTATTGTCGTTTCATTACTATTATTAATTTTAATTAAAAATCGCAGAGTTATAATTTATAATGACATGCATTTCAAGATGCTCTGAAGTAAAATTATGAAATTATCAGTCAGCAATCGTTTGTATGTTGAAAAACTTCTTCCAATGTGTGTACTGGTAAGTGGAGCAAAAGTATAAGAAGCTAATAAATTTGGATCTTTTACAATGTCACTTATTTCATTAGAAAAGGAACCATTTACAACTGCTTCATTTATTGATTTCGTTAAATTTGCAATTTCTGGCAAAATAATCGAATTTTGCACTAGAAAATTTGGTTCCTGGAAGCAACAACTTACGGTTTACGCTGTCCTCAAATTTGGTACCTGTATTAATTCGCAAAATGAATTTATCAGTGCAAGGAAATCCGGTCTCTACTTATGAATAACCCTGTATAAGAGAAATCATTATTATTATGCAGTTTGTTGTTACAAATAGACTGATTTTAATAGTGAGGTGCATTAAAATCATTGGGTGATTGTGTGTTGCGCGGTTAGAATAACAACTTTAGCGATTATGATTTATCCGGTTCGATAAGTATCCGAAGAAAAAATCGATGTACGATCAATAGCTGGCATTTCACGACGCGTGACAACAGATTCCTTTCTTCAACACGGCCATAAACATGTAGGTTGTCATATTCGACATTGCGTGACTTAAGGCGATCTCCAGTGTGTCTTTATTTCAATATCGGTGCTATTGTTTAATTTTTACATCGAATCAATCGATAATAGACCATCTACAACCAACATTGACACTATAGGAATATGTAATATAAAGATCGCGTGTGCCATAGCGCTACAGGTGTCCAGTATTGTATTCGATCCAAGTGGCAGGTAGATTTCATTTCTCATACAAAGGTATCGAAGACATTCATGATTTAGTACGTCTGGTACTAGCGTTTTAATGCTAGTAGACCAAATGCATGATTATTGTTTTCTAGTTACTATTATTAGTGAAATTGCTGAAAGTTTTCGTGAAACAAGCGTGACGTACACCTATTTGTATTCTTCACGAGCAGTGCTACCGTCCATAAATCTATAATGATGGATGAGAAGGTCCGTTTTTCACAAAACTTGCTAATAAAAACATCAACCTAAATTAAACCATAGCGCAATTTTTCCTTTTCAACACCTTTGAACACTTTTCAGGTGGACAAATAATGATTTATCGCTTAAAATGAATGAATTACAACTGATCTCAGCTGCCACTACCATATAATGCGTTCACGCATCGCATAAAAGAAATCCCTAATTTGATTTTCCATTCACAAATACAGGGTGTTCCAGAACTTGCGCCCCAGAGAAAAGTGTCAAGTCAGCAACATGAAAAAATATTAAAAGTGAGGCTTTTAATTTTTATCTTGACTCTATACAGAGTGTTCCAGAATTCGCTCCTCAGAAAAAAAATGTAAGGTAAAATACCAGGAACATGTTAAAAAAAATTCTATCTGTAAAAATTTCGAAGTTATGCACTTTGACTCTACCTATTTACTTTTGTTAAAAAAATAATTTTCCAAGTTTTTTTTGCTACAGGCTATTAGAAGAGGAAACAAGGAAGCTGTATTCTAAATTGTAACTCTGTTTAATGTTATTTGTGGCTTTTATTAGAAAAACTTTTGTACATTTAC